AGATCTGCCATGCCATGTGAGTCAGATCCTTGGCAGGGGGCTGAACTCCTGCTGCAGTGGCTGTGATAACTTCCTAGTGTTGTGCTTTTAACCCGTTGTACCACCAGGGAGGGCTTATACCTCCTCTGATGTATGTCACCACCCCACCCCCACGACTGTACTTTTTCATTTGATATGTTTTACCACTTCATATTCTGATTTCCCCTATAAGAGAAACATATCCTATGTTCCCTATAGGTGCAGGCAGAATATAAGTTTCTCTCTAAGCTCCTGTGTGGAGAAAACAAATAGTGTCCAGTATAATGAGAAACATCAAACTGGGAGAGAGTCTTAGTCCAAACTGGCAGTGCCTGTGCACAGCGGGAGCAGAAGCGACCACAAAAACATCTCTCCTACCGTAGCTGTAGCCCTTTGTTTGTCCTGGTGCCTCCCAGCTGGTAAACTTTGGCAGTTTCTACAACACCCGTTATCTCAGCAACCTGGGTGAAAGACAGAGATAAAAGTCAAAAACAGACTCTTGCAGGGCTCTCCACTCGCCTCTCCCTTTGGCTCTATTGACTTCAGTGCAGCATGGGAGGAGCCCATAGGTGCCTGGTGCCTGTATGATGAGTTTAGAACTCATCAGCATGAAGCATTAAGGACTCGGTGACTGTAGAAAGCAAGTGCCAAGAGAGGAGGCAGTCAGCATGGTGGGGCCCATTAGAAAGCTCCCTCCAACTTAACTCTACTTTACTAAGGGATATACTTGGGATTTCAGAGGGCAGTTTTATAAACCAAGTGTGAAGACCAGGGACTTTAGTTTCTATTGTTAAGCTTCTTGAGGCATGGCATGGTTGCTGGGCCTCACAGGAGGTGAGCACACTTTAAAAGCTAGACAAGCAAGAATAATACAAAAGCAAGCAAAAAAAAAAAAAAAAAAATTTAAATGCTATGGTTCAATCATTTACACCAGAAAAGAAGTGTTGGAATCCATCAAATAATCTCTATTAGGTTAGAGGGGTGTTTCTGTAATTTAATTTAAATTGCAATGTAATTCCCTGTTCAAGAAGTAACTTGGTATATTTTCCATGTTACACGAAGTAACATGGAAAATTTTCATTTATTTTCAAATAAACAAAACTTCCAGATTATGTAACTTCCAGTGAATACTTATCAGGGTCCCTCATCTCATTTTTATATTAACAGAGGGTAGAGAATTTACTCTAAATTCAAATCTCTCAGTCCCTTGGGGTCCAAGAACTCTTTCCAGCAGCAGGTTGTGCCCACTCCCCAGTTACCTCAGACTGTCATTATTCTATGGGTATCTTATTTGGAGTCCATTTTCCCATCAAGTGGTGGCAGAAGGGTGATATTTGTTCAGGAATTCCTAGTTCTCCCAATTGAGAATCATTATATTTAAAATACGGAGAATCATTATATTTAAAATATGGACAGCTGTCCAGAGAAAGAAACACCAACCCGGTAAACTGGCTTGCTATTGTGGTTTCCAATGCCAATCCGCACAAAACATCCTGTGACAGTTTTAGCAAAGAAGGGCATGTGACACCAGCGTTCCAATTTATGCCGTGATAATCGAACCCGATTCAATTCGTCAGGTAGGGAGACAGGTTGTGACTTTGGAGGAATCTCTTCTTTCCTATGAGGAACAAAGGTCACTGGGAAAAGTGTTCATCATAAAAACAATTAAAAAAAAAAATACCGATTTCTCAAAACTTAACCAAAGTACATATGATTAACACTACAGGGAGAAAGACATGAAACACCAAGAGAGTTGTAAAGGAATTCTGTTCTTAACTGGAAATAATAACTGTTTTGAATGAGTTTGCCATCCCCGATAATCCAGTGAGTAAGAAAATAATGGAAGCTCCTGACATGAAGTTCCTAACTGCCAGGCCCAGATGCAATGTCCAGGTTACACGCTAAGAGGCAAAAAGCAAGGGCATACTCTGAGTGCTGGGGAACTCAGTCCAGCTATTCAGGGTACAGATCAACCCAGAGTTCATGGTCCAAACAGGGATATTTAAGAAACTGTTACACTAAGCTTCTCTTCAAAGAACCCACCTATCCTGACTACTAGACCAACATGTACAACAGCTTACTCTTCTTCCTCATCAGATGAAGATGTTCGAGATGAGCGGTCTGACTTTTCACTGGACTTGTCATCCTCTTCCTCTTCCTCATCGTCAGAGTATACTTCACTGGTTTTTAATGGCTGTTTTTTGGCGAGGAGCTCAGCTAAAAAGAAAGGGAAAATGTTTACTCAGTAAGAAATGGAACTATCTTTCATCTGCCATATCAAAAAGAAATGGAAAAGGACTCAAAAGGACAATGCCATCTTTTCTGGACTAGATTGTGGTTACTTGGCCTAAGTATAGAGAGTTAAACCAGAGAGCTGAATTCACTCAGGTGCTAAACATCACACACCCAACAAAAAGTGCTGAAACTTTGTCACTTAATGGGTAGAAAGGCACCATCTCTGCAGACTAGTTGTCTTTTAGTGCACACAACATATCTAAAGATGGGCAGGAAAGGTTGGGAAAAAGTTCATGCTGTCTTCAGAATCTGAGAGAAACTTTATTATTATGATTTATAGCACTCTTTGTAATACCAGAAGACTGAGAACAACCCAAACGTGCACACAGAGGACTAGCTGAATCACCTATTGTACATCTAATGGATGACTATGCAGTTACAAAAAAAGGAACAAAATATTATTCGTTATACACCAAGTTAGAAAATGCTTATAAAGGGACAGACAATAACTATTTAGACTTACGTTTCATATGGTTGCTGATTCAATTACTCTCCTTTACTATTGTAGAGAGTGAATAACCATAGACAATTATGAAACAAATGAGCATCACTGTATTCCAATAAAAATTTATTTATAAAAAGAAGTAGTTTATGGCCCTCCCTGGTGGCGCAGCGGGTTAAAGCACAGCACTGAGAATCTGAAGCCACTTCCGCATGAGTTCG